CGCTCTTACTAGGGGTGTCTTTTGGTGAGATTTCGAAACGAGGTGATTGTGAGACAACTAGCTTTGTCGAAAAACGAAGATTTTGATAGTGGAAGTACTATCACCAATAGTTACACTGTTGCCCACCCTATAAAAAACCTTATTTCACTGCAGTGAATGTGAAGAAGTAAGCACTATCATGAAAGTAAGATGTGAGCCATTTCAATATTCAGCCAATGTGCGGACGAAGAGCTTGCAAAAAGATCTCACTCCGCCAAGCAAAATATAACAGTTCTGCACAAAGGCTCTGTTTCATGCCACAAAGTCAAAAATCAAACTCAATCGAGTTATAAAAACTACAATAACGACAAGAAGTGAATTTCTGAAGTAAATCTTTTGAAAGTGCACAAAGCAAGAGAAGTCAAACATAATGTTAGCTTGTAGAATGTAGCGTTTGTGTTCGTCACTTCACCAAAGAGGGCACAACCTCACAAAGAAGTGACACTAGTGGTGAGCAACGAACCGGCTTACCATCTACTACTTATCTTTGGTGGGCCGATACGATGAAATTACCTGAAAAACCTGTCATAGATTACCTGTCAGTTATACCTGAACCCTGTTATACCCTATAATTACCTGTCATAGATTCAAAAAAAAAAGAAAGTTTTTTCCATTTTCTTGTCAAATTGTTCAGGAGCCAATAGTTTAAGGAGGAGTCGTTCATACTGCTTAAGCTCACTCTGACGGTTCGCAGCAGCGCGAATAAGACTTGAGTAACGTGGTCTACATAATTCTTCGAACACTCCAGGATATTAGAAAGGTGGAGGAACATCTTGATAGGTCTGGGTTCTATGTAAACAGTTGAACTGCCAATTTTGTCTCTTTTTTGTACAGCTGTCGATAAACTTGCTGCTGCGTTATTGATTTGAAGAGCGAATCATAGCGCAATCTCGCCGATTGCATACTGCGAGCGGAGATTTATGGGACCTTATATCAACCGCACTCTTTTTTACTTGAAACGTTACTCCTGCGGAGGTTTTCTAATCAAAATGCGTTAGATACTCAGATAATCGCCGGGCAGGCAGCCATGCGATTTTTGGGCAAGCGGGCGCCAAAAAATAGTTCGCTGATTCCTGTGGTCCGCTTGCAGAAATCTGGAAGAATGTTGGCTAATTTTTAGACACATGCTCGGAGAACAGCTGCGGTTTTCTCATAGATTAATTGCAACGCGGTGGCCGCATTCTCGCGCACTCTCCGCGAGAGTATGCAAAATTACTGAGGGCCGCACGGTCCTTTGTAGAGGACCTCACAGCTCGTAGGTACCACAGAAGGTACCACAGAACAGATTTCGCAGTCGTTGCACCGTTTGCTACAGTCTCCCTACCGCGCCCAACAGGGTGTTCGTGGCGGGACCAGCGTACCTGCAAACTTCAAAATGAACCTAATGCAAAAGCAGTTCTTGTCCGAGGTTGGGCGTACAAGAACTACAAGGACGTCAAAAGATGAGCATTTTTCGCGCCTAACATAGGTTGATGTATCATACGCAGATTCTGAGTCTATTAGTTTCAAAACCGTTGTCTAAATTGGTATATTCGTAGTTGTTTTGTTTTTTCTCTTACTTTCAGCCCTGGATCATCGTTCTTTCTCTCTTTCAAGGGTTTTCTACTAGGATAACGAGCGTATCATTGTTTCAATGAAGGTTCCCAAGACTTATATTCCGGTCACCCCATTCTTCTAGTTTGAGTTTTCGCCTTCTACAATACGAACGTTGTTTTTTTTTGTTTTAGTCCCCTCAGTTGTAATAAATGAGTGACTAATGAAGTAAATATGATTATTGATATTTCTCACTTTCATTCACTTCAGTTGCTCAGAGAAATCCTATCATAAGCTCTGACATTGACGATGCTAGCTAGTCAGTGTACTACCTACCGGCTACTAGTCACTGAGTGTAACTTAAATCGATGTGTTATATCTACGATCCAGAGAATCAGCAACACATCATATCAACTTCAAGTCCACTTTATGCAATTAGTAAGATTAAAGAAAGTAAGAGGGGACACCTTTTGTGGTCGCAATATGTTTATACTGTAAGTTAAGTCAGCACCGGAATCCGAACGAAAATAGTTTCCCTTCGGATGCAGCCTTACGCACAAATAGCGATAAAATGTGAAGAGAAAACGCTGCAGAGTGACAGTGATCATGGGTGCAGATAGCATCGCAAGTTCTTTTTGAAGTTCGTGAGTGCGCGATGGTCCTGCCAGCAAATATCGGCTTTCGCTTTGCTACGAACTCATACAGTTCCTAAAGCTGTTGCGTTAGACTGTATTTTGGCATGAGCTCAGTGTCAATGGATGGAAAAACCTCAACAATCGTTAAATTGTCACACTATCTTGAGTTCTCAAAGTTATACCATGGTGTAAGATCCAAATTCATGTCGTCACTCTTCCATGAACAAGACATCAGGTAAACTATACTAGGTTATATGGTAACATATGGCTTTCAACACCTATCAAGGTGATGTTATGCAGCTCAACAACTCATCAAGAAGGGCAAAACTCCAAACATCCTTAGTGCGACATTCATTCTTGGTTTTTACCAGCACCAGTTTCCGGAAGTGTTTCAAATAGATAAACAGAATAACAGCTTTTTTTCATTTCCGAGAAGTACCACCCACCTAAATAGGTCTTCAGTTTCTATGTATGATATATCGAAACCCTTGACTGATCTAATCCACACTTGATGGGAAAAGACAGTAATTTCAGTTAAGCTTAGGGCAATTACGGTAAATGCAAAGTGGGGTTGAAATGCGAATTTCCCCTTCTTCAAAATACTTGAAGTATTGATCCTAGTGCTTTGTCGAGTAAACCACAGGGTCAAACCCTTGGCAATAAGTACGCAAATGCAGTTTGCAATCAGGGACGATGTGACTGACTCGGCTTCGAAGCCAGTGAGTTGAACGCGGTCCTGCCACGAACAACCTGTTGGGCGAGGTAGGGGTACTGTAGCAAACGGTGCAACGACTGCGAAATCTGTTCTGTCAACACGAATAACACTGGTGGTAACAATGGCGACGCGGAATTAATAAGCAGAGAGCACTAGATATTGAATCCCACGTACGCAAAATACACATTCCATTTTTGAATCACATCAGTTCTGCGCCCAAAACTCTAAACCGTTCGCAATCGAGTATTTGCAGCCTGAAGTAAGTTGCCTTAGGCTGACCTATGTTGCAAACTTCAAAGGGGCTGATAATACATTTCTACGGATTCTCTATTACTTAGTCTTATCATTTTGCTGATTTTGATGGTTTTTTTATAATTCAGAAGTTTAATTTTCGATTGGAAGTATTGAGCATGATGCAAGCATTCAGTCTCTTGTTGACTAGTGACGCAAATGCCTGTCGCTCCCTCAGAGCTGGCCGAAAGGCGATCACAGTCAATTTTCAGAGATTAAGTCCTTTACGATAGTTTAAAGTCGTTAAGTTTCTGTATGGGATTGAATGCGATTCCGTCAAATTCTAGGAAACGAAGAAAAATTCGCTCAAAATGTCTTAATAATCGAGCAAAGGCCCTGTTTGGCGTTTTTACACAAGCCAGAACACACTTCCAATCTGTCAAGCATTGAGAAAAATTGAACTAATTCTGCTTTCAATAGACTTATTACGCAATGGGTGCGTTTTTAGAACAGGAAAAAAGCTTTCTCCGACGAGGATGTGTTGTTAGGGTTTTCGTGCACGGAATAATCCAGAAGACTTCGGATTACATCAGACAAATCTAAGTATTGTTAAGAATGCGTCTCTTTCGCTATAACCAACAGGGTGCAACGTCCATCAAAGCAGATTCCTTTTCAATTGGGAGGTACAAAATTCAGCCAAGGTGATGCTTTAAACTAATATCTTCAGCTATACTATAGCTTTTCATGAATGAAAGTGTTTTAGCCACAAAGCTAAAAAACTTGTGCGACCTGACATGACTGAAATTCTCCGAGCCGATCCGCTTGGCTTATTGTTAGAAAATCTTGAGAGCTATGAATTCAACACTTGTCAAAGCTTAAATTCATCACGTAAGCTTCTGAATTTCTCAAAAATATGACATACATTATAAGAATATTATTGTAAACGTGTAATCTAAATTCAATGTAATAAGAACGCTTTGCTCAAACAAGGAACCGTTTGTTTACGAAGCTTTGTTCCGAAATTTGCTCGCTTGCGAGACAATACATTGGAAGCTGTTAGTTGCGTAGCAACATGTTTTTTGAGGTTGAAATCTGCCCCCAAAAAGTCACGCTCCAGTCCACCTTTCTAGTCCACAGGAGTCATTTGAAATGCTGTTTACAAATACATGGTCAAGGGGAATTCTGGGGGTCTATTGAGAGCTCACTGGGAAAGGAAGGGGTCGTCTCCAGCTATGTGTTACACCTCTTGCTCCTTGTGATAATAAACTCGATTAGCAGGATTTCAAATAGTCGAGCTTGACATAAACTACTACATTAGCTTTAACGACTTGCCTTAAAAGCAGCGTCCAGGCAAACCTGAACATAAGAAGATCTTACGTGGAAAATAATCTTGATAATCTAAGACCCTGCTCAAATGGCGTAGGTGGTGTACTCGCGGCTAGGCTAATCATCACAAAATCACCCTCAGTATCGTAGTAACGGACGACTTGCCTCATTAGCATAGCTTAATGTCCTATCTGTTAATTTCGCGCGGCTACTCGCCCAAAAACTTACAAGCACGTTGCAAGTCGTCTGTTGTCACGATCCAGGGGGTCCAGTTTGGGGGGGGGGCAAAAGTCTCAGCCGTGAGTATCAGTGAGGGTTCCAAAATCACTTTCCACGTGAGGTCCCCGCAAGTCCAGATTTGCCTAGACGCTGCCTTTGAGTGGTTTCTATGTTGGCCGACTTACAATCGTCACACCGCGATCAGTTTTTAAATCAAATGCTTTATGTTTGTACCACTGCTTTCAAAGTACAACATACAAAGTTGGAAGACAAAACCATGTTGAAAAGGATTAGTGATCATTCTATTTTTGATTGAATGTGTTCCAATCCATATCCTTTGAGAATGCGCAGTACAGGTAGTGACCGTCTACAGTTAAGCATTGAACCAACGGAAATCGTTTGAATAAATTCTGCAAAGTTGTTATTGATACAGGCTAAAAGCAGATGACAACTTAGACGGACAGCATTTGTGAACGACTGCATTGCCACCGCCGCTCTACTTAACATTTTGAGACAGCGAAGCGGCACCTCCAAATTCGGTACATATACAGTCTGACCCAATCCCAATCGGGCCAAAATTGGCATGGCGGGACTTTGCGTCGCAAAGGTTTTGCGTCACGCCTGCCTGCTTGATTGCTTTCTCTTCGATTTTGTCGCTCTCTTAACAGTGCGCAATGCAGCGCAATGTACTGGCGCTACGTGCGCGCAAATCAAGCAAACGGCTCGGCCTAATCCCGACTGAGGCAGACTGTACACATGCAAAACACGTGACTGCCGCTGCAAAGTTGTCGTACGCGGCTGTAAAAGTTGATACGACACCATGGTCGTGCAGAACACATACAGTATCGCCATCTGTTTAGTCACCTCACGTTACTGCACACAAAGGCAAAGTCATCTTATGCGATTTAAAATGTTCTTTTTTTTGCATTTGTGAAGTGTTCCGACAATACCTTAACCGATCGGCAGTAGCGAACCGAGCCGCCCTTCCCCCCCTCGAGAACGGGTGTCGAAATTTTTAAAAATCGCTTACATGGGATATAAAAATATGCAAGTGACATATTAGGTTGGCTAGAAAGTTCTTGCGCAATTCAAACAAAATTCGATAACTTTTCAATGACTAAACCTAAATTCACAATCTTGTTCCCTAAAAAATATTAGAAGGCCTGCGCTCTATGATGGATGTTTAAGCGCAAGATTTCATGAGCTAGCCCTCGAGAACGAAGCTCTCAAATATGGGACTTCAAAATTTGCAATTTTGAGTTTGGTGCCAGAAAATCGCAGAGTGCCGCTAGCTAGCCGAAAAAAATCTGTAAAAATTACTTACACTGCAGAAGTCCATACGTTATTTTAGCAGGCTTTAATCTTGCATGGAAACGCGAGAACAAAAAAATTTGTGGAATTTGCCATTTTACAGGATAAATCCCCTTATCGATGTAATTTTTCCACAAAAACACAGTTTGCTACCAGAAATAAGACATATTGGCTATTTAGAACCTTGCGACGTTTTTTGGAGTGTAAAAAATTGTTTTTGTCGAAAAACTGCAGTAATGAGTGGATTTTTTCGGCAAAATCACTATTTCACGAATTTTTTGTTTTTGCTTCACCGTGCATGATCAAAGCCTTCCAAAGTAACCTATGGACTTCTGCAGTGTAAGTAATTTTTACAGATTTTTTTCGGCTAGCTAGCGGCACTCTGCGATTTTCTGGCACCAAACTCAAAATTGCAAATTTTGAAGTCCCATATTTGAGAGCTTCGTTCTCGGGGGCTAGCTCATGAAATGTTGCGCTTAAACATCCATCATAGAGCGCAGGCCTTCTAATATTTTTAGGGAACAAGATTGTGAATTTAGGTTTAGTCATTGAAAAGTTATCGAATTTTGTTTGAATTACGCAAGAACTTTCTAGCCAACCTAATATTTAAACTTGCACATACTTGAAAGAATTCTTTGAATTTTTTAGAATTTAAAGTAGGCTTGTAACGAATTTTTTAGAGACTATGAATACCGCTTCCACCTTCCCGCTATCTTCTTAAATTTTGTATGGGGCCGCGAAAATCTTGGCCCCACAAAATTTTTCGAAATGAGTGGTTGACGTCACGCTACCTAATTTTAAAAAATCCCCCCTTCCCCGGACAGAAATGCTGGGACTGCCACTGCCGGTCTATATTACGTCGAACTAATACTCAAAAAAGCTGTCACGTGTCGCTTTTATGGGATATGCACCACGGTGAGGTAAATACACAAATGACACCTTCTATGCACACAAGTTGTTTTACGCATGAGAATTCTCTTTCGCGTTCAGTTGCAGCTCGTTCGTTGTTGTATTCAAAAGTTTGAACAAATACAAAGTTTGAGAAAGATGACAACTGTTAACGTTCGCACGCGCACTGATCAACTCCGCTGCATTCATCAACTTCCAATTGACAGGAGTAATTTTTGTAATAGGTTCAGCCAAGTATTGCTGCTGCTTGTAGCTGCTCGCAGTTTGTCTTACCGTGCAAACATCATGAGTATGCACTTCTGCATTACATTTTGTGGCAAGCTTCGTTCCTGCTTCATGCCATGAAGTTACACCATTATTTTCACTAAATTCAATTAGTCCGTGGAACGATGAAATATACGGCTGCTAATCGACTGTAACTCACCTGATATCAGCCCAGCATATACGAATGTTAGAATTCCAACCTTGAAGCGCAAGTAAATGGCCCGAGTGTTGTTTGAGTTTAGATTTTAAATACTCAGTTTTGGATGGTTCATACTTCTGAAAAAGCCAGCTCAGAAAGCGGAGAGTTAACAAATTTTAGGCTTGTTAAGGTGCAGATTGTGTGGCACTGAGCTTTCTGGAACTATAATTGTATACAGTACGACTTTGCTAGAAAATGTAATTCTCAAGCTATCGTTTTGCAAAATGAAGTGAATTGATTAAGAGGGTAAAGCTAACCAGATCCGGAATTTCGATTCCGCCGCCTAACGTTCTGCAATAATGCTCCATTCCTCTTACGAGTCCTTCGTGAAGATTGGGTTTTTCGACGTTTATATCTTTTGGATCATAAGCAAAACAAATTGGAAAGAGCTGAAAATGGATTTGATAGACTACAAATTATAGCGAGTGGATATTATAAATAAGAGGTTGTTCAAAAGTTCACGGGTTTTTCAGACATATTTACCAATGCTTCAAATTACCTACTGAGGACGAAGCACTGCTTTTAGCCTGTTGCTTTTTACACGATGTTAATGCGCTATAATTTGCGAGCAAAAATTACTTGGCTCTTTTTGCAACTGCTAATGTGTGCCTTTCACTTTGAAAGTTTCTTTGAGGTAACTGCCCTTTGCCTGTGCAAGCACTGCTTCATCGCAGTCCGCTTACGCGCTTGCTTTGTTGCTATATAGCATCAACTCAGTAGTACTATATGGCAACAGATCTGTTGTATTTATGTAATAGGATGCATACTCTTTCAATTCTAGCTCTGCTGTGTATGGAACAAGTCTGTAAATGATCGCTCTGTTCCTCATATATTCAAATTGAGATAATCAGACAGTACCCACTGCATCGAGATTATTGCTTTATGCTACGTAACAACCATCTAATTAATCAATATTGTTGTTTTATGTGATTGGGTTAGCCTAACATCCATCACTTTTTTTGAGCACTAAGCTATTTCACAAAAATATACTAAGTCAATCATATGGCCCTGGCATGAATTTGATGCAAGCGGTAAATTAACACAATTAATGGCGTGACCTACCATGATGGGTGACGCAACAAATACCGCGTAGGACGACATGGTGGACCACGGTTGATGCTACCGATGAAATTGGGACAGCTTAGCGGTGGCGGTAAATTTTATGGTAAGGTGGGTTGAGGTTGGCACCAGTGCCATTAAGATACGAAGCCTTTCCCAAATGCTGGCCTAGGGTTATGGCATTAATCAGCGTCGATCGTGAGGTCAGGCACACGTTTTCAAGTTAGCGACTCCTCCCTACACACAATGGCGTAATCGGTATTTCTGCGGAAGGGGGTGGGGTGAAGAGGAGCCCTCGAAAAAATATTTCATGCAGCGAAATTGAATTTCAAAAAATTTCAAAAATTATTCCAATTATTCACAAGTATGAACAAGTTACGTACACTTTTTTATAAGTCATAGAAGTAATTTTAAGAAGTTTCGCAACACCAAGGCCCCCCGCCCTCGCCACTGCTATACATTGATTTGAACAGCTCTTTTCTTCTCTCTCTCTCACCTTCAAATCCTCAAAAACATCGTAGCATGTGGCATCCACAATGCAAATAGTCTTTACCAAAGAGTTCTTGATTTTCGCAATTTCTACATCTTTCTGTGATTTCGACAGTACAATGCGAACAGCTCTTCAACGGATAATTTCTCTTAGATATGAGATTTCTCAAAAGCCATAGCTTCTTTAGGAAAAGAGGTCTTGCCAGATTTCTATTGCGGCTGGAACAAGGTTTAAGCTTATTACCCCTTTACAAAATTGAAGCCGTTTGTGGATTGCGAAAACAGCTTGACTGAGTTACTAACAAGGAGAGGATACTTAGTCGAAAGCACCAATCCAGATAAGACATATTTCATCTTAAAGCGCTTGAAACGCTTATTCCAAAGCTGCAGTTTCTAGCTGCGGAGCGGTTTTGTAGAAGTAGTAATGAAGGGTGCTCCCCTCTGGGGTTCAGGCGCCCTCCACCGGTCTCCGCTTATCTGTAACTGTAGAGGAGTATCAGCTACTGACTGACCTAATGGTAAGTAACTTGAATGAAGATTACAGTAAAGATTATAATACTCATATTACTTTGGTTTTTTAACACTTCTAACTTCGATTAGTATCACTATCATCAGAAGTTTCACGTTTTAGGGCTCTAAAGCCATTTAGAAGTTCAATTCAGCATGCTAAGGAGATTAAAACCTTGACACTCTCTTTATCAAGCACGTCACTCCCCACTAGTTGCCACCAGTTGGTACTCCTCTACAGTGCTCATAGGTAGGGGGAGACCTGGTGGAGGGCGCCTCAACCCCAGAGGAGACACCTCTCATAACTTCCTCTACAAAACCGCTCCGCAGCTAGAAACTGCAGATTTGGAATCAGCGTTTAAAGCGCTCTAAGATGATATATGTCTCATCTGAATCGGTGCTTTCGACTAAGTATCCTCTCCTTGTAAGAAGGGAACGGTAAGAAGCCGAAAAACGGCCGGTACATACAAACTGCTACCATTAGATGCAGTATGAAGCTGACTTGAAATCCATCTTCCCTATCTGCTGATTATTTGTTGTGGACGAAGCTGGAGCCATTGAATGACATTATTTCGCTAAGAATGCTTGTAAAGGGTAAATTTGGCAGTACACAGCCATGGTCGTCTTAATGTTGGGTTGAAACATGCAGCTAGGTTACTTCACGTGGCCCATATCCATACTTGGAAAAATGCATTATTATGCCTTATTTGGCACGATTGCAAACGTCGATTTTTTGCAATAAATCTGCTCTTAAGTTCGCCTGCAGAGGCGAAGTTAAGAGCAGAAATTGCAAGCAAAAGCAGCAAGAAATTGCAACAATAAACAAAAATGCTGCAGATTGGCAGAACTTCTGAGCGACGTAAGTTATATGAAATACAACTTACAATGAAGAACCAGCTCAGGAAGAACATCATGGTGTGATCACACGATTTACATCTCCCCTTTTATAAGCAACTTCGAATAGGCGATCGTTTAATCAGCATAAAATATTACGAAACCTTTAATTGTTAAAAGCCAGACGGATCTTGTGTACACATGATATGGCACGATACTGCACATAGAACGTGCAGAAAACGTCCTTTTCGTCGGCCATTCCTGCATATTCATGTTGATCTGGGATAACTAAACAGTTTTACACAACCAATGCATATTATCCACTAGATCAGTGGAAAACTCAAAACTGCCGTTCAAACCCTTTCACTCTAAATTTTTCGCTGCATGTCACCCCTCCTTGGCACCTAAAACTGAAATCTTCTAAAGTGGTATATTATATACAAATAAGAATATAAGTGGTGCCACATCATTTCACTGCTTTGATGGGCTGATACGGAATTTGTACCTTACGTAAAAGGTTCATTTACAGGAAATTCTCAGCTTTGAGCTAGTCAACTTCGACTTGCTTTCTGTCACGGTGATGCGTCCTTAGAGATTTACCACAAAATAAATTTCCTTTTTCAAACTCTTTGTACTATTATCACCATCATTCAGGAAACCTTTTGTTTTTCAAATCGCTTCTTTTTCAATTACGTAAACTATCAGCAAGCATCCGATCATCGATTCGGTAATCTTGACTTGCAAGCATATCCAGCTATGTGAGTGAAGGAGTTAGATATCTCAACGTTTCTTAATAACAAGACAAAGATGCGAAAATCAACTTTGCAAAACTTTGCGCTAAGAGCAACATGTCAATTTTTTTCTGTTAAGGAACCAGTAGTATGAAATCATATGAAACGTGCACTAGGGTCAGACAGATACGGTCAAGTACTCAAGCGAACTTATAGTGCTAATAACGTCTAGCAAAGAATGGTCCCTCCTTGATATGCATTTTGCCTATCATGGAACTTGAGTGAAGAAAGAGCCGAGAACTGGCATTGTAAATGTTGTTAAGCTTGAGCTACAAATAAAGCTTGAAACTATCCCATGTTTTTGTGCTGAAGACAAAAGTCTGGAATGTTTGAAAGCTTCACCAGCAACTCGAGCTCATCAACCTCTGCAATGCTAGCTCTCAGCTCTTCCCTCAGTCAAGTTTCATGACAAAAAACGAAGGCCATATTGATGGACCACCGCTTCGCTAAATGTGTTAGCGGACCTTGATTCTGAATATTTGGAGCCACATTTAGTTCTCAATAGCCACATTCAGTTCACAACAAGTGAAGGTATTCGACAAGTGGTTCTCATGAGGTTCACTTAAAATCAGTGTTTCTTCAACTTTTATGGAGATAATTCTTGGTGGGATGCAAATAGATAAAGACGCAGCAATGACTTTTTGCCAAATACACCACTTTGGACCACATAGGCAATAAGCTGAATACTTGCGAGGTAAGGATGGTGCGCAGAGGGTCAAAATTCAAGTGAACATCAATTTACTTGGTTATCAAAAAGTAACCAAACAGGTTACACTTATGCCGTTCATCTTGCAATTTGCTGATAGTTACTCGACGCGACTGATCGCTGACTGACTACTATTAATATAACACGGAATACAAGATGGATATGTGATGGACTCGTAGCAGTTGTTTTTGGAAGACTCGCGAGGCGATAAAATCGCGTGATGTATGTCTAGCCCTTGGGAATTGTTAACATCCACATTTTGAAATCATGCTGTGCAGGGGCTAAACAGAATTTCTAGAACTTGCACTCCTGCATCGCTGTACTATGCTGTAGAGTGGGGGTAGTCCGAGTACAAAAACTTCAAGTTCAGCCCGTGTACACCGTATTCGAAACCGTGTGCAAAAGTAGACGACAGATTTCTACAAACGACTGCACTCAACTGATAAGCACAGCAACGAACTACATTGCCCACTTTCTATTCATTTCGTAAACCGTCAACTCAGGCAGGTTTCAGTTTTCTTTCAACTGACATCAAAAAGAATTTTTTAGATGTTAAAAGTACCACAGAACTGTCTGCGAACCTATACCTTCTCCTTCTATGCAAAAAAATTGGCTTTATTGCGCGTTTTCTGTGTGATGAATTTTTGTAAGTATCATATCAATGAAGAACGATTTTAAACGATGTTAAAAAAATCTGGTCAAAATGAAATTTTGTTTTATACCGGCAAACGAAAGTTACCAGAGGCAAAAAGTTGCTGAAAATATCTTGTGTACAGTGCAAGTGTCAATTTCTGATAGCGGTAGATCTATATGTCCTAAAACAGCTGCGTCTAAAGTTCTTCTTGTGGGCGAGCTTTGCAAGTAAAAGGACTGAGCAGAATACGAGAATTGAGATTGGTGTGATTCGCTTCAACAATTGTGCCCAGGAAAGAAAGTGAAGGAGTTCAAGTTCGGAACACTAGCCTGGCAAAGCATGTTTCGGTGTAATAAGACGACAAGTAGATAATACAATTCAAAAGTAGCCACATAGCCACATTACAAGTTTAAGCAATAGAGTAGTACACAGCCAATCTGGAGAAAAATACTGCAATTGCGATGTTTTTCCGTATATTGATAAGCAGATAACTGAATAGTGATAAAAGAACGATTGCCTATTTAACTCTATGGATCATAGCCACGACTCAGGAATGCATGGCTTACCAACTTCACTAGAAAATGAATGGATGAAATAGGTATATTAAAATTTTCCAAAAGTGACTTCGCTGTTTTTGCACGAGCACCACATCCCGAGGAGGAAAGTTCTGTAAAGATATGGTAGAGTTTTTCATGCTCTTTCAAACCACCAAATCCCATATTTAATCCACTCAATGCTGATAAAACAGCGACAAGTAAATCTTTTCGCGTAAGTTTTACTCTTCCCAGCGTGTGTTTTCTTTTCCGATTGAGTCCTTAGGGATAAAATCATCATAATTTATGTTATCAAACGCGCCCTAGGCTGTATCCGGAGATTTGAGAGTTGATATTTCGAAATCGTAAACGCTAAACATTGTGAAAAAAGGAAAGATATGCTTTGTTTTCTCAGGGCTGCTCTATCTCCATCTTATTTGAAATTCCTCGGAAAATCAACGCAAAAATTTAAAAAAAAGCGAAACTCGATCATGGCAAAAAACTTGGGTTCAGTTTTTTTTGTATTTTTGAAGTTTCTGGATGAACTGCATTATCTTCGTAAGTATTCAAAGACGGAGAAAAACCGCGCTGAAATTTGACATCATTTTTCTATGAATTTTCGCTCCGCGGGATGTGTATTGTTAATAAAAAAATAAATTACTTTGGTAACGATTTATGTACAGGGCTCCTAAATCGCAGAGTCGCTGGCACCAGCACCATGCTCCTAAAACATCAAAAATACCCTGCAACTGCGCTGCTTTTAATTTTCCAGTTCGGTTTGAAGATAAAAAATAACGATGCAAAACTTTCAGTGATTCTTTACTGCTAATACCGAAGCTAAGGGGTCCCAAAAATGGTTTCATCGAGTTGTATACTCTTCCTCAAAATACAAGCGTGTTTGGCAAAAAGTGATAAGTGGAACTTTTCAAAAAATAAGAGGACATTCAAAGGAACCGATGGCATCAATATCTTTCTTCCAAAAGATTCTAACCGTCGTTCCCGCGAAACAAGACTTGTTCATTTTTTCTCTTTTATGGCCAAAATTAAGTTTTTTTGGAGCATATGCTCTCAAAGGTGGTTAGGTCGAGCGAAAATTTTTAATGAAACAAAGACATCCTTTGCGAAAAATCTTTTTGTCAACAATTGAAAATTTTTCTCCAGAGTGGTCAAGTCTCGCTCATTCCTTTTACTTTTAGAAGCAAAGTTGGATTTAATGCATGCTTCCAACAGTGATTAATTGGTAGATCATGTTAAAATTCATGGAACAGAAGCATTCTTCGCGAAAATATCTTTTTTGCTAGCATAATGTTTTCCTCCAAAAGGACGCCTCACTCTTTTTTGGCTGGGGAGAAGTAAGGTTTCTGTGTGTATTTCCGAGCGAAGATTTGAGTCAGATTGAGTGAAATGTTCTGTGAGATAGAGGCAACCGTCGTCGAGCTATTGTGAGGGTAAGCTATAACTGCGCATAGAGAAACTACTTTTTGGAAAACGGCATCGCAATCATTCTCAAGTGACCATCTCCCTGATAGAAGATCTACAATCACAGTATTGCTCACTGTCATCGAAAAATTTGAATCTGTCGAATATTACAGGGCTTCTAAATTGCAGAGTCGTTTGCACCAGCGCCGTCGTGCCTTGGTATTTTGCCAGCCTCGATCGACCGGCATTCTATCTCGGCCTTTTCTTTGTTTTTTGCTCATCGAGCCCTCAGCGAGCCTCATCAAAATTTTTCGAAGTAGTCTCATGCCGGCAATCGGTCTCACAGAGCCTTTGTTACTCCTAGGTTATGTTTTTAGAATTCTCAGCATTCCAAAAAAGTTATGGTGGCTTAGTCAATTCGGAGAGGTACAGGGTGTCACTCACTTGCTCAACTTTATTGTTTTCCATGGTAGGTAACATCAGAACAGTCTCTAAATGTGCACGGTTTTTTTGATTGTGCAAGTGCTAGTTACGGTTCGATTATTTGTTTCACTGCGCTTTTCTTTGCTGACACTCGAACCAATGAAGCAAACCATGGTTGCGGAGAACAGCAAGCTTTTTTCGCTACCGTTGAAAAGTCAACAAAATTCTTAATATGTTTTTCTGTAAAATAAAAGGAGCACATTGTTCTGATGTTTGCTAGAATTTTGGAAGTTCTCTGGAGCAGGAGTTGCAGCTGTATCACATTAGCTTTGAATATTGCTGCAATTTAGGTGTACCACGCTCGGTTCTTCATTTCATACACGAAATGGTCGGACTTTGGAGTGATTGCATTTGCTAATAGAAAGTATGATCCTGTTTTGCCTTTGCCCCTGGACAGGTAGAATATGAACACTGATCAATTCCGAGGCTCATCAGTAGGGGAGAGTGATGAATGCGTCAGTGCAAGAAACTGGGGGTTTATATAGTAGATAAAGTATTGCAGATAGGCGAAGGT